TGAGATTTGAGGATTCATGGCCTTTGCCACTGTATGGTATCCCAAAATATCGGGGGGCATGTGTTGCCCTCTGGCGGTCTTATTCCAGCCTTAGCATGGCTATCAGCAGTGAATAGCTCCTTTCCCGAGTCCATGAGCTCGGCAGTTGCGTGGGTATGAAGTCCTCATCTCGGAGGGGGTTGGCTAGGCTGGTTAAAGTGGTTGCAGTTGCAGGGGCTGCGTGTTATATGATGCTAGGTTTGTGTTATATGCCAACTCATTGCTATTACACTACGCCGCCGCAATAGCCATGTTCGGGTATTTTTTCTAATGCGCCCCCTTTTGGCTTTTGGAGGCTGACTTGAAGGCTGAGATTAGCCGTCTGTTGCCGTTGAAGACTGTTTGGACTGGGAGCTGATATGTTTGCGAGTGTCATAGCCTCCTCGGGTTGAGGCTTTCACGACCTCAATTTGATGGGAATGTCATGGTATGATGCGCTCTGTGATGTTGGGGTTTGCTCTAACAGTATTCTATCTTGATAGAGTTGAAACGACCCGGTATTGGCTGCATACTTATCCCGCCGTGTACCTTCTGGGCCTTGTTTCTCGGGATGGTGACAATTCTTGCATGAAGTGAGAACTGATTCTTTGCAGCAGCTTTGTGGCTTTGGATGTTGAAGAGCCGCTTACAGATATGATTGAGCTGTACTTATAAACTCATTGGTAGTCCGGCATCCTGGGGTGATTTTTTATGTCACGAGTCTGTGGCTGAATATTTGAGCGACGAACAATCGTCTTTTGGTTCAGTGACTACTTGTCTCATCACAGTTGTGATTCAACTTGATAGTAACACGTCGTTCAAGGGTGAGAGAGACGGAGAAAGTGAAGAGGTTTGGCCAAGGCACCAGCTTGGAAATACGTTCAAGTACGGAGCAAAGCCCCCCTCAAGCCATGCTCATAACTAGGCTGGTGTCGTTTTGTGACTGTGTTCCAGCTTTCTAGTCGTGACGAGTACATACCTTGATGTTATTATGCTTGCTGCACGATGGCAAGTCACGGCAAGCTCGTTTTGTCATTTGTGGAAGTGGCCATAAGCTCTTGGAAATGGGGTTCACTACTTCTTTGATTGGGAAATATCTACGGATCAAGAGTTCGGTAATTTCGATTTGCTGTCACATCTCACTCATCAAGATATCTCACTACCAGGCTGTTTTCTTCACAACCAAGTTATCCTGCGCAAGGCGTTCTGGTATCGAGTCTCTCTGCAGGACCGAAAGCCACCAAAAGGTCTCACCTTCTCACACGAACTATAGAGCCGTTGTCCTACAGTGCAGTGCTTCAACTACAAACTGGCAGCCTCCTTCTTGGCCGTGACCTCAATCTCAATCATCATCACGTCCTCCATCAACGCCGCCTGGATCATGGTCGCCGCGGGGCGGACGTCGCCAAAGTACTTTTGAAGCACCGGCCATGTCTTTTGAAAGTCGTTGCGGTCGGGGAGGATGTAGCGGACGCGCACGACGTCCTTGATCTCGGCGCCGGCCTCGGCGAGGGCGGCGGCGATGTTCTCCATCGTCTGCTCCGTCTGCTCGACAATGTTGGGAGATATGACGCCTGTTGCGTAGTTGTAACTGTGCCGTTGGACTAATTAGCATATATGCCCCAACTGTACATGGGCGTTCTTAAACCATGATATGAATGGGTGGGCTGGGGTTGAGGTTGGAGGGAGACACGGACCCCGTGGTTCCAGACACAAAGATGAGATCGCCCGAGACCACCGCGCGGGAGTAGCCGATTTGTGCCTCAAAGGCAGAACCTGAGCTGATGTTTCTTCGGGACATGATGGGCTGAAAGAAGGGCCGAAGAAGGCTTGATGCGAATTGATGCGAGATGTTGTGTTCGTCAGTTGTAGTTGTGGAAGGAAAGCGAAAAGGACGTGGTGGATATGATATAAGAGGTTGAGTCACTCGCAACATCCCAGGTATTCCCACATGTCAATCTCGCGATTTCTACGGGAAAAGATGAACTAAGCCAATCAGAATCTTGTCCACAAGCCCGTAATGGCCGTATTAGGACATGGGCTGGGGATGGAAATGACCTTTGAACATGTTATCCAAATAAAAAACACCCAGCTTTAAAGCGACGCGAACGCAATCAAGACTGTATGAGACGCAACAGGTTTCGAGGCTCGGCATACACGGTCTTTGAGGCGTTTGAAGTGCGCGAAAGATAACTCGAGTACGATGCCGGTGTTGGTCACACGCGCGATGAGTCAAGCAGCCATTTTGCGGTTATCTCTTTAGGTACGGATAGGTCAACGCGCGGGTCTTTCAGAGATAAGGTACACCCACCGGACCAACCTGAGTATGGGAAAAAAAATAAAACATGGTGAGAGCGGCCTTGCTAAATTCCTCTTCAATATTCATGGAAGTTTGGCGTGTTGTAGTGAGCGTGTGTGAGAAAAAGTCTAAAAATCAAATGATGTTAGGACGAGCGGGGAAAGACGATTTCGACTGAAGATTAGACGAGCTGCAGTTCGCCGCACTGTTCAAGATAGACTAGATTCCGAAGAACACGATCCAGGTCGCTTTATTAACATCACAATCTTCGGTTCTGCCTTGGAGTATTCAAGCAATGATGACCTTGGCTAAAATCTTGACGTCCGATCGTGCTCTGGGACGGTATGAAGGAAGGTACCTTTTTACCGATCGTCTTGGAAGGTACGAGTAAGCCATGGCCTGCCTCCTTTTCCTCAAATTGGTCATCGCGCATGTTCGTGACTGCCTTCCTTTACTGGAACCCATCTCATCTATATGGTTCCTTCTAGAAGAGAGCTGGGAGGCAGGTACGTCGAACGGTGGCCTCGTGTACCATCACTTCGGTTTCTACAACTGTCCCTGATGTCATTCTCTTCCGTAACGTCAGACCCAACTGCCCTCCTCAGCATCTTCGTTCTAATTCTTTCTATAATCCCCTTGTCAATCAAATACAAAGCAATCGATTTGCGAGCTATACATCGGGGAGAATCTGATTCACCAAACAGTGGAAGGTAGAAGAGTCTTCGCAGTTCAACTACCATCATGTCCGTCTCGCTGTCTTGGGAGTTGTCGTCTCCGCCCTCCTTGACACAAGAATCTACCCTCTATTCGGAATACAGTCCAGACGGGGAGCCACAGACACAGAATCGAGCTCAGGCCGAGCCCAAGACAAGATCTGCATCCACAAAGTCATCATTTCTCAAGTACCCGGCCGACATCCAGCGTCTTACACGCCGCGGGCTTTGCACCTATGGCATCAACACGGGCCCAGTGCCAGATGACACGGACTGGGCCAGGCTTACTGTTCCTATGCTTAAGGAGCAGCTCGCCATGCGTGAGATGCCGGACGATGGGAAGAAGAGTATTCTCGTCGAGAGGCTCGAGAACTTGAGCACGTACAAGCCTGAGGTCGTTGCCATCAGAGACGCTCCTGACGACAAGCCATTCGGCCCTATCTCCAAGAACACTAGCAGCAACGGCGAGAAGCGCTTCTTTGTTGACACAGCTGACAAGAGCCACGTTGGTTCTGTCAAGAAGGCGATGAAGGAAGACATGTTTGTGATCAAGCAGTCCAACGATTTCGATGGTGGAGTCAGCATCGGCATCCGTGGGACTGGACCCGATACATACGAGGTCATTATCGGAACAAAGACCTCATGCACCTGCTCGAGCATAGTGGGTAACGCCGAAGCATCGTCAAACAATTGCTAACCTCAACTAGATGTTCAGACCTCGCAGCAATTGCAAACATATAATCTGTCAGCGGAAATGCTACCTTTCTCTCCTGCATCCGATTACTGACGAAATCGCAGACGTCCTGACGCATGTTTTCCGGGCACCAGCAGAGCTACTCCCACAGAGAACGCTCTTTTCCGAAGAGATCGAGAGGCTCATTGAGCGTGCCCCTAAAGTCCGCTTCACAGCAGCGGAGGCCAGCCAAGACCCCTCCATGTCGGACGGTATTGCGAAGTCCAAGGACGGCAAGTCATGCCCTGTCTGCTTCAAAGACATTGGCGAGGCAGGAACGGTGTGCTGCATTAAGTGCGGCAACCACACACACTCATCTTGCTTCGACGTGTATACGCATCAGCAGACCGGATGGGCCCTCACGTGTGCTGTCTGTCAGGCTGGCTGGTCGAACTCGGTTGTCTGAGAGCAAGATGGCAGTACTTCAACACGAGGTTTGGAAGGTTGATGATACTATTAGACATGACTATTGAAGGCGTGTGAATGGGTTCGAAAGAACGTCTGGCAGCTAGCTCGACGAGTATTTGCTTTTGGGCGGAGCTATCTACTGCGGGTTATTGTGGAAGGACTTCACGGGCTTGAACAATGAATGAAGACGCATCTCCGGTGTAACTTGTAATCGCTATCGAGTTTCAAGCGCATGAATGGCAAATGCAATTTATCGACACTGTTAATTGCCTCTTCTTTCGGATGTAAACTGTTTCCCCCGAGCTTTGTCAAGCTTCAAGAACGTTTGCATTTGTCTTGTTACCTCACCTTCACCACATAGTTTCTAGGCTGTCAAATCTTTTATGTACGTTATTAGTACTTTTTGCTTTTGGGGAGGCGGCGATTGCCCGAAGGCCTGATTGAAGCTGTCCTGCTACGCATCCAATGACATCCCAACTTTACAGATCAACCATGTTGCGACAACTTGCACCTGAGTTGATCGCCCTCTCCTTAATCAGCCCCTGCGCACTGAACGGTGATTCGCCTACCAATACTCTTCATCCACATTTACATCGTACTTCTCCAGTAGACTCCTGAACACCCGTTCTTTCTTGCCCCCCTTCGTCATTTTGATGACTGAATTCCCATCATCATCAACACTGTTCCTTGCTCCTGCTTTCAAAAGCATCTCTGTAATTTCTTCATTCCCGTGAAGAATAGCCTCATGTAGTAAGCTTCTCCCTTTCCTATCCCAGATCTTCAAGCTGGCGCCGTGCTTGATCAGTAGTTCAGCAATATCCGCGCGATCCTATCTAATAGCCGAATATAGGAGCAAGTATCCTCCTGACGTGGGGTTTATTCCGGCCTCAGTCTGTTCGAGGAGCCATCGAACGACTACTTCTTGCCCATTGTTGACCGCGCAACGCAGTGGTGTACAACCGTATCCGTCTGGCGTGTTAACAGCAGCGGGACTCTTCTTGTACATCAATTGTATGAGATCGAGTTTCCCATCCCAAGCAGCTTGATGCAAAGGTATACTCCTGTTCCGGTCCCCGGCCACGATTTCAGCATCATTATCAGCAAGCCATGTTGCTATCTCCCAGTTTCCCGAAATCACGGCTAGGTGCAAAGCCGTTCTCCCTTTTCTATCTCGCAATGTTCTGTTCGCAATTTTCCACAGATATTCAACCGTGGCTTGTCTCCCATAGAATACGGCCCAGTGAAGGGCTGTTTTCCCTGAGCCGTCAAGGACGTTGATTTCTGCGCCCGCCTCTGTCAACAACTTGACTCCTTCCACAAAACCTGTGATTGCAGCACAGTGTATCGGTGCGACTCCATCTCTGCCTTGCGCGTTGATGTCTGCTCCTCCTCCTGATAGCCTCAATATAGTGTTGTAGGGCATGCTCCCGACAGTGCCGTGAAGTCTTGCAGCCTCATAATCAATCTCGTCGTCGGGCTTTTCTTGAGTTTTGCAGGCATAGTGCAATGGTGTCCATTCAACCAAGTCTCGGGCGTTGATATCTATCCGAGGCGATCTCATCAAGGTCGTAACGATATCGTGTCGACGTACCCCGTAATGCAGAGGGGTCCAACCGAGAACATCTTTTGCATTGATATCTTTCGCAAGACGCATTAATTTTTCAACGCGTCTTTGGCTATGGATCCGGGCTGCTTCGTGCAAGTCTGTGTAATTCAACTTTTCCTGACAGCTATTGCTGGTTTTGCTGGAACCGTCCTCACTCCCGCTATTACTAGTTTCGTTGCAACCGCTCTCGCTTTCACTGCAAGATACAGGGTCCTTCAGGAGGTTCAGCCCCCACGGGCGCCTCTGATTCTCATACATTCGGACAAGGGCGGACACAGTCGGCTCGACTCCCATATCGAAGTTGGAGAGAAGCTCATGCTGAAGTTTTCGCCTCAAATCATTGACCTCCCAGAGCTCGTGAAGTGGCTCAGCGTCGTATGTCTGTATTTGTTGTAGGGCCAAATCCAGGGCCAAACTGACTTGCCTCAAGAAATCCACAACTATGACTGTTGCTAGAGTGGATAATTCGTTCTCGAGCGGGAATGTCCTGGCGACACGGAACAGCCACAAGTATATCTCTCCTGCCTGCTGCCAGTCCTGCAGCCTCTCGTGAATTCTAGCCTTCTCTCTTGCTAAGTCGATGATGATAGAAGCCCCGGGAAGCTTTTTTTCAAAGCTAAGCGCGGGTATCATGCTAAGGTGAGCGTCACTGAGGCTACCGAGTCCGGTGCTTTCAATATCTCTGGCCAGCTGCGAGAGCTGGCTATTGTGGAGGACGAAAGACTTCCAGCTTGTATGGGCCGTCGCTTCATGTTTTTTTCGTGTATCCACAGAACCTTCAAGCGGCTCTTTAAGTGACATTGCTGCAGTCCTGAAAAAGCTCGAGAACATGTCCTGTGCATACAGTAACTTCAAGGGACCGAGGAACTCAGCGGCCAAGAAGTCATGGTTGGAGCCATCACCCTCTGTCGTTGGGGGAGTCTCCGGTACTCCCTCCTCGCTTTTGCTTCCGCTTCCGCTTTTGTAGCTTTTACGCTCATATTCTTCAGGGTGCTTTATTTCGATCGTGAACTCGGACAGTTCTGCTGTTCCATATCGCCAACGGCCTATCTCAGACCCACCAGATCCAACGACTCTGTGGTTTTCCTTGCACAATTCATCATTTGTAACACCATCTTCTGGGAGATTTGTCAACCTGGACAACCTTATAATTCTGGTTGTCTCGCTGGGCATCCACCACGAGAGATCTCGATGCAAACTCTCCGTATATGAGCCTAGAAGGCGCAAACCAGGTCTCGAAGGCGATCCTTTGACGCGCAGCCACTTGTCGTCTTTGTTGTCTCCCACTGTGTCCTGGTGGTTTGTCTCTTCGTTCTTCTCAATGTCATCAATGGAGTAAAGCCACATCGACAAGGCTGCTTCAAGCTCATCTGCATGAGCATTCCACTTCCCTTCTAATCGGTTCAAACGAAAATAGATGAGCTGTTCTTCGAGATTTTCTCCGGGTTCTCCTCTCTGGCTCGCGAGTGACCAGGTGTAGTCAACCTGCTCTGAGTCGCGGAACAGAAGATCCATCGTAGCCTCAATGGATCGTGCAAGAGAAACAGCTTCCATGGACGCCGGCCCCTGCCAGTTGGCCAACTGCGCTATATCTTTCCTGATCATGACAACACGATGCGCAATTGACGAATTCGAATCTCTCTTTTGATTACCTTCCTCAAATTGTTCAACGTGTGCTTTCAAACACCCAATCTTCCATGGTTTGGCCTTGCACTTAGCTTCAGGTATCCACGGGCTGTTCGGAATATCTGCGAATGTCGTTGCAAACCAATCAAGTTCGAAACCTGATCGAGTCCGAAAAGATGTTGGAGGATTTGCAAGACTCCGCCGAACCCAGGATCTTACTCCGGTCATCAGGAGGATGGCGCCGAGTTGTGCAATCGATACTGACCAGTGTAACCCACGCAGGCCGAAGAACTGCACAATATATCCACATAGACTGATGGCCATTCCAATTGTCGTTTTTAGCTCTAAGGATACTTCGGGCGATTCATTCATGAGAGCAGACCCTGGCACTTCTTCCTGCTTCAATGAAGGTCCTGAGGGATTTCTTACTTCACGCTCGCGTTCCGACGTTGTTATGAAAGGCCGTTTGGATTTTGAATAGACTGCGAACGAGTCGAAAACCTGGTCACTGACTGTTTTGGTTTGTTGTAGCCAGACCATTTGCGCCATCAAATCTTTCGAGGGTCGAAAACTCTCTTCGACAGTGCTACTCTCCACAACGTGGGCGCAAAGAAGGAGGCCGACAACCAGTAGAAGTGTTCCTACCCAATGGCACGGAAATGCATACCGGGCGACTGGGTTTCCGTCCTTTAGAAAACCCAATGCTGGGTGGTACACAGAACATCCGGCGTAAGCGACGAGTCCCAGCTGGAGCAGAATCCCCCATATTGCTGCCGTGCGTAGTTCAGCTCTGCTTGTGATATTGTGAGAATTGAGGGTAATATTCGGCGAGCTCTTCCGTGGGTTTCGTGTGATAATCATGCCCGTCGTCGATGGATTTACTGGGTTTGGTGATTCCACATGGTCTTGTTGCGTTTGAGATGAGTAGTTCAACGACACTAGATTGCGAAAAAACATTGCTCGAGGCTTGCTTTCTACATTTCGGGATCAGATCGTATTCGTTTACGTGAACAGAAGTACTCACTTCGAAAGTAGTTATTCTTGACCTCCTCGAATGGCATCGCCGTCACCTTTGTCTCTTTATTGACCCCAGACTCCGGCAGCAAGCAAATGAACTCTGCAATTGGAGCCGAGCCCATACATCTCACTACCTCATGACCATTCCAGAGCTCACAGACCTCTGTCGACGTAGATGACATTAGCTCTTGCTCAGCCACAGCAAGATTCTCTCTAGCTCTGCCAATAAGGGCCTTGAGGAAACCGGGTCCTCCGACTCTGATAGCGCTGATTATGATAGTGATAATTCCGAGAGGCACCATAGCTAAGGTAATATTATCAGCCCAGCCGAGTGATTGACTCATGAATTGCATGGTGACCCTCTCTCCAAATAATGCGAGCAATCTTTTCGCATAAAGATGGTTATTATACATGTTTTCAAGCAAGTGAAAAGGATCTGAGAGTGCGGGACTGACGGTGCTAGGTCCGAGAACAGATTGTTGACGAAGTCATCTCCTTCATCTTCCGCGACGCTCGCAGCGAACATCATGGAGAAAAGAAAGACCCTAAGCATTTTTGCTGCGATCATTGCAGATACGTGTGCAAAAAACTGTTGGGTTGATGGTGCAGGTTAATCAACGTGATCGAAAGTACGCCTTCTCGTATTTGCCAGAAAACCGAAGTGTCAAGAACGTAAGTGTGCTGACTCGGTGGCTTCAACGAAAATGGTCGAACAAAATATCCGTGGGAGTGCCCTTGTTTTCAGCTAAGGAGAACAGGCTGTACGTAGATGCGGAAATGTCTCCCATTTGTAACTGCCTACTGTATCCACCCATAGGCAATATGCATATGCAGTAGGCCCATGCCAACAGACCGCTTCGCTTAGCACCAACACATATTATACATGAGGCATCTCTGAATGGTTGGTGTTTGTACGGGTACGGTCCTATACGTGCCCGGCTACTAGAATGTGGTGGTAGTATTATCTCCACCTTCTTGCCGTGCAACTGCACGGCAAGGTGCATGAAATTTCGTAAAGCCACTTCGGGGCTTGGTAACTAGATTGGCACCCTTAGGCGCCATTGCGATGTAACTTATCCAGATACAGCTTACATCAGAGGTAAGATGCGACAAGGGCGCCAGCGCCGAACATAGAGGCAACTGTGATGAAGCTGGCAGTGGAGAACAGAGAAATGCCGCTGAGTCCGTGTCCGGAAGTACAACCTCCACCGATTCTTGATCCCAGGCCAATAAGGAAACCTCCTACTACCGCCAGCTGTGGCGAGACAGCCGTATCAGCAGCACCCAGGGCAAACTCGGGGTATGTCGTCGCGACAGCCCACGCGCCGGCAGCCAAGCTCGCAGAGAAGAGAATGTTGCTATACGATGGCTTCCCCTTTTCGCCGCCACCCTGGACCGCCCACCAGAAGTACCGTCCAATCTCGTCGTAGGAAGTCGACACACCGAGCATGGACTTGCGGGAGAGCAGTGAAAAAAGCTGTGCCAGACCGATCAGGAGTCCGCCGATGGTGGGAGCGACGACGGCGTAGGGACTAGCGGGAGTATACTTCATGCTGGCGTAGATGATGCCCGCGAAAAGGGCTTCCACGCCAACGAAGGCGACGGCTCTGCTGAGACCGACGCGCTCGTGGACGGTGAGCTTGGGGTTCTCGGGCGGTGCCGAGCTGGCGTTGCTCGTAAGGAGTTTCTGAAGGAAGCCGGTCCACATGATGCCGGCGAGGACGGCGCCACCGAGGACATAGACGCCGGATTTGGTGCCGACGGCGATCTGGGCGAGGACGGTGCCGGGGCAGGAGCCGGAGATGGCCATGCCGGCGCCGAGGATGGAGCCGCCGAGGATATTGCCGTCGTACTGGGAGAAGAGACCTAGACGCGAGGGGCTGCGGGGCTTGGGGCGGACGTAGCCCGCCTGGTCTAGTACGAGGACGAAGACGCTGTATATCATGTCAGTTGTGTGAGAGGATCAGAGGATAGCAGGTGCTGAGATGGTTAGACGTACGTGCTGCTTGCTGCGGCTGCGAGGAAGGCCTGGATCATATGCCAGTTCTCGAACTTGAGCTGGGCGATGATGACTGAGGGCTGGTAGACGCCCGCCGCTACCAGGGCGGCGCCGAAAGCGGCGCCAGAGAGAGCCGTTGTTGCCATGGCTTGGTCGGCTGTGGATGTGGGAGTGTGAATGTGTGTATATGTGTTTGTGCCGCGGGGGCGTTCTGGGACGAACTGCTGCAAGCTGGGAGTTTGGCGGGTGTGTGTTGTATATATGAGAGGTTTTCTCTTCTATGACTGGTCAAGCGAGGATGAGGTGGTGATGCGTGGTGGAAGTTCAAAATCTTCAAACTCTCCGAGCCGTCTCGGGACGAACTTATACAGTCTAAAGCCAAAACTGCCACAGAGGAGTTCAAATGTCTGGGAAGATTATCGAATGTGCCAAGTTTTCGAGTCTGCTTAGTGAATCAAGCCCGAAAGCCCAGATACGTTCGGGGACTTGAAGAGAGACGGAAAAATGGACCGGTAGCGGGGCCCTTGGTTAATAATCCTCCCCCCATAGTCAAAGGCCGAAGAGTGAAGAGGGCCAACCCCTGTAGAGCTTCTACCCGCCTTGGTCAGGTAAGTGGTAGTGGTAAGGCCCCATTCTGTATTCTGTTGCTGAGGCCGAGCCGAGCGTCTGGGTTGACTTTTGTCAAAGGCGGTTTAGAGTGCAAGTGACGGATGGCTAGTGGCGTTGATTCTTAGACCTTGTTCCCTTTTCGGATAGCAATGACGCCTTTTGGGAGCTAACTCACGACATGGCGCTAGCTTATTTCTAGTCCTTTGGGAATGCGTATCCGAGATTTTCTTCGTGGTGTGAGAGAAGCTACTTTCTCTGAAAGAGTATAGCGGTTCGATTTGCACGCATTTCAGATCCCCGATGAGATAAAGATGCATCTTCAAGAACAGGTGTTGCAGGTGGTGCGTGCGCCATTGTGGAAGGTCGGCAGTTCAGGGACCATGAAGTCCGTCAGCAAAGGATTGATTGGGCAGAGCAAGGTGTCCGAATAAGGGGGGATCAATAAGGTTGCAGGAAATCAGTTGAATCCCGTCCCAGGATGGTCCTGGATCCCGAACCCGAACCCGCAAGGGTTGTTGTCTCTCTCAGCCAAAGGGCCTGGAAGAGGACGGCGACCACTTTGAAGAAACGGTCGCCGACGTCGGGGAACTGCCGGAACGCACGGGCATCACCGAGAGTGGATACCCCTTCTTCACCGGGATGGATTACATCTCTCGGGGGCTTCCGTAAGCTTGGGCTTCTTTCGGTGACTACTACTGTGACCGAGGGACTTCATGCTCTCTAGATTATGGATTCATGGACGGCGAGGATTAAGTGAGATGTTTCGAGAGTTTGGATATAAGAATTGAGCAAATGACCATATTGTAAATCTCCATCTTGTAACTACATTATTAGCAAAACCACCAAAACTAGCCGATGAACCGGGTCAACCAGTTGCGAGAACATATACACAACGCCTCACTTACACAGTCAAACATGGCCCAAGAACCCACAATCCACGAGATCTTTGAGCCGGTCACAGGCACATGGCAGTACATCGTAGCCGACCCTTCAACCAAAGCCGCAGTGATCATAGACTCCGTCTTGGATTTTGATCCAGCAAAGAACGCCATCTCTACACAAACAGCCGACGGCCTTCTCGACGTGGTAAAAAAGAATGGATACAATGTTGTCAATATCCTAGAGACACATGTCCACGCCGACCACTTGACGGCATCCAAATATTTACAGTCTCGGCTGCGGGAGGCACAGGACGGCGCCGCCCCCAAGATCTGTATCGGTAGACGGATCGGGGTCGTGCAAGAGAGGTTCGCTGAGAAGTATGGCATTTCCAAAGACGAGTACGCCAATGCCTTTGACCGACTGCTCGACGACGATGAGGTCTTCGAGATTGGAGACCTCAAGGCCAAGGCCATCCACCTGCCGGGCCACACCCCCGACCACATGGGCTACATGATCGGAGGTGAGCACTTCCCCACAGACAGTCACGAAGAACTCTCAGCCCCATACTGACCATCACTTTCAATAGCAAACGTCTTTGCGGGTGACTCCCTCTTCAATCACGATGTCGGGTCCGCGCGGTGCGACTTCCCCGGTGGTAATGCCCGCGACCTCTTCGCGTCGGTCCGCCGGCTGCTCGATCTGCCAGAGACCACCAAGATCTGGACAGGGCACGATTACCCGCCGGCCCACCGCGGACCCCTGGCGGCGACGGAAGTGGCGAAGCAAAAGACCGAGAACAAGCACCTCGCGCAGAACGTGACGGAGGAGGACTTTGTCAAGTGGCGCGAGGAGAGGGACTCAGGGCTCGGGGAGCCTAGGCTCATGCACTGGGCGCTGCAGGTCAACGTGAGGGCTGGGAATATGCCGAGTCCCACCAAGGCTGGAGATCGGTTGTTGCATGTGCCTGTCAAGATGCAGGGCGTGACTTGGTGAAAGGGGTTTTCATGTCGTGTAGGTAGTGAGAGCGTGGAAAGGAGCTTGTTTCGACTCCCGTGCATATGAGATGAGGGATGTGGAAGCGTTCATTGTATACTTAGTTACTTAGGCAAGTCGTCTTCGACAGCCAGTCTTCCTATTTCGCATGTGTACTGTACATGAAGTTGTCACGAAGATCGAAAGCGGTAGAGAGCATGTAAGTGGTGGTGTCCCTGACAAGGTACATTACGTCGGTTGGCCCATGCGTTGCACCCCCCGCGCCACCGCCGCGTGGGGAAAGTGCCGAGGTCTCGTCACTGAATGCGGGGAGTTCGGCCCCGGCTGAGTGGAGGGACAGGAGGCCGGGGGACGTCTACTCCCCCACCAAATCACAACGTCAACGTCGGCAGCGACCCGGTATATCATATTATTAATCTCGCTCGGTTCAATCTTTTCTGTTCACATAAGAGCTGGCGTGGCCCCCGTTTCGTCTATCTTGCGACACTGAATTGGATATCTACAGTATCAGTGCCGACGCAGCACATTGCATATTGACCATGCCTCACTCTATTACCGTCAAAAAGATCGAGGGAAAGCCCGGAAAGGTGTATTATCCGTAAGAAATATATTTCCAGTGTTAATCATATTACCGAAATTAATTCGAATCCCAGCCTCCAACTCAATGAAGTCCCAAAGCCGACTCCAGGGCCCAAAGATGTCTTGGTGCGGTTGACGGCTGCTGCTCTCAACCACCGTGACCTCTTCATCCGGCGCCACCTGTATCCAGGCATCTCATTTGATCACCCCCTTATGGCAGACGGATACGGCATCGTAGTCGAGGTTGGGAAAGACGCAGACAGAAGCCTTATCAATAAGCCAGTTCTCATC